GTCATTATATATTTTCTTTCTGCAATGTAAACTGTGAGTGGAAGGAGTCAGGCTCAATGCAGGAAATGCCTGAGGTGGTTATTATGGCATTCCTGGAAAGAAGAAAGGTGGCCTGATCTTGACAAATTAGCTGGGCGAAGACAAATGAACAGGTCTTGGAAATGTTTGAGGTGGTTAGCCAACAGCTCAGTGTGGTTCTATTTCAGGAGAGATTTTTGTTCTGTTTTATTATTATTTTTTTTTTGGGAGGGGGTGCGGGGAGTGGGTCACACATGGCAGTACTCAGGATTTACTCCTGGCTCTGTACTCAAGAATCACTCCTGGCAGGCTTGGGGAACCTTATGGGATGTTGGGGGATTGAAACTGGGAGTGCTGCATGCAAGTCAAGTGCCCTCCCTGCTGTGCTGTCACTCCAGCCCCCATAGGACAGTGGGTTGAGCCAATGTTTGGGGGTTAGCAGCACTTAGATTTTGTAACTGAAATGCATGGTCTTTCTGCAGTAGCCACTTCAAAACTGAAGTCCATGTACTTCTAAGGAGGGTACATAAAGGTATATGTGGGTGAAAGATCCTTTCTAGGGCATGTATTTGTTAGGCTTTCAACTTCCACGTGTTTTCTTCCTGAGGTCATGATAATTGAGTGCCAAGTAGCTTCTAGTAGCTTCTTTTGCCCACAGCTTCCTCCTGGAGCTTTTCTTCCTTAGACAAGGAAAGGGAGGGCCTGCAGTTTGTTCTCCTTGACTGTGGATCCTCCAAGGACCCTATACAAAGCAAAGCAAGAGCCTTTATAGGGAGAAAGTGAATGACTCAAATGAAGGGGTAATAAATCCTTTTGCAAATAAGCAAAGTTCCCCCCCCCCCCCGTCCCCCCATGAAATAAAAGGAATGCCTAATAGAACTGTCAGCTGATGGATCATTAAAAGTAATTTTTGATGCTAGAACCCTGTTTGATTTTTGGCATATAGCTTAGAAGTTTAAAGCACTGAGTGACATTGTAATAATAAAACTCTTTCCATTCCTGTCTACCCATTTATGTAAAAATGTTCTAGGCACTTATATAAAATGAAAAATAGGAATAAATGTGTTGCAGAACATTGTCTCATTATAGTAATAAGTTATACTATCCATATATCCTTAAAATAATTGAAAAGTACCATTTTAATTAGTATTTCCATCTAAGTTATATTTTAAGTAATTAATACATATCAGTCAAAATATAAAATATATTGCATTGTGTTTATTAATTGTATATAATGGTAATTTAATGACTCCAGTCAGAAGAAAAATGTTATCACTTAGAAATTTATTGTCCTAGGAGATTAAAAATATTAAATTTGCCATCATAATAAAATATACAAAATTGCAAATTGCAAATATGTATGATAAGGTGATAAATAAAAAAACTTTCAAGCATAAAATGGACTACAGTAGGGTGAAATTTTGTTGGAAAAGTGGAACAGAGTGGTGAATTCCAAGAGAAAAAGGAATAATATAACATTTTCTAATGTTAAAGAAGAGTTTATTCATGTGCTTTTTAACCGAATGAAGATTGGAACAAAATCACTGTCATGACTTCACATATTTTAAACATCAGACATGTTTAAAGTAATGAAGTGATAGTTTTATTTTTAAATGTTTCTACAAAATGTGCAAGATGAAGGCAATTATGTACTTTGCCAATGATATCCTCCATGAAGTTACATGGAATTTTTGTATGTCAACTTAAAAATATGAGAAGTGTTTTTTAAAAAGCATTTTATTGGTTGTATGAGAACCTGAGCTTGAGGACCACTTGTCTAGTGAGGCAAAGTTGAGAAAAGAGAGAGAGCGGTGAAAGGTAGGTTCTCAAGGGGCCTCATTAGCCAAGGATCCTTCTGTCTTCACCACTGTAACAAGGAAGTAAAGCAAGAAAGGACTTGTTAGATGCAAGTTAGTCATTGTCTCTGTGTAACTGGAGATTAGGGTCAGCTAGGAGATTACAGTGGGACGGGAGAGGCTCTCCAGAGACTGGAAGTCTGTCTGTGATGGCAAATGGCAAATTCCCAGTGGGAGCTGAGAAGCCAGTCTCTGGGTTGCTGGGAAGGACCCTAGAGTGATCTCCACCTATTTGCTTTGTGATGTTCTTCAAGCATTTATTGGCAGGAGATTCTCAAAGCCAATGAATAATAGGTATTAAGAGAAATATTGGAAAATCTTTGGCGTAGTGGTTCCCGCTGAGTACTGAAAGTAGGTAAGGCGACAAACATGATAACCATCCAGTACCTTTGCAAACCAAGAAAATGAGAGAGAGAGGGAGAGATAGAGAGAGAGAGAGAGAGAGAGAGAGAGAAACTATTATAGAGGTAGGCTGCAAGGAGGGGAGGCAGGAGGGAAACCCAATCCTGAACAACTTTGTAATTATGTATCTCACAGTGATTTGATTAAAAAAAAAGGCTAGGAAAGATCACAAATTAAGGGGCCTTGGAAATAGAGGCAGAGCTGATAAATCATTTATCCCAGGAAACTTTTTACTGGCTCAACATCTTGTTTTCCTCTGGAATGTTTTACAGTCTTACTTTGTACTTCTGTATGATATTTGTTCTTTAAAATTGCAAAAAGCCAACCAGAACTGATGTAAGAAGTTAGGAAAAGGGCGTATATGCCCCTCTGCCCCAAAACTTGATTTGAAAAACATTATCCAGGTCTGCAAATATACTTTCTGACCCCTAGCCCCCATAATTTAGCATATTTAGCATTGTAGCTCTCTGCATGAGGCACAAGGCCCTCCAAATTCTACCTGGCTGGACCTTTGCAATTCTTTCATTGCCCACTCTTGTGTGAATTTTTCACTTGTAATCTACACTAACCCTGTCTAGGAGAGGAAAAAGAATGCAAGCCACAAATTGGAATCACATGTATTGAACCCAAGGTATTGTCACTTTTACATGTTACCAACCATGCTGAGACCACACTCCACACGCGTGAAGGTACCGGCAGAGGAACAAAGGCATGTGGGTCTCAGGACTGAGATCTCCAAGGCTGCTCAGATCAGGGCTGAGCATCCTCCACCCAGATCCTCCATCTTCCAGTAGGCAGGGGTCACACTCACCAACTGGCCCCCTGGCGCCGTGTAATCCCATCAAGGTCCAAAACCCAGAGACTGTAAAATTCAGCTCCTGGAAGTGCGCGGCCATGAATACGATATCTTATTATCTCATTCTTACTTTGGACAACCTGGCAGACTACCGAATGTAACCTGCCCACACGGCAGAGTCTGGCAAACTCCCCATGGCGTACCCAATATGCCAAATACCAGTAACAATGATGGGTCTCATTTTCCTAACCCTGAAAGAGCCTTGAATATGGCACTTTTTAAAATCTCAGGGCTAGGATAAAGGAGACGTTACTGGTGCCTGCTCGAGGCAATCAACGAACAACAGGATGATCGTGACCATGATCATGTGATCAATACAGAAATTATTAATGAGGGATTTGGAGTTAGTTCAAAGGACTAGAACATATATGTTGCATTCCAAAACCCAGGGCTTGGTTCCTGGCCCCACATGGTCCTCGGAGCACTCCTAAGGGCAACCTTTGAGCTGAAAGTACCCCCCAAGCACCTGTAGGTGTGGCTCCCAAACCAAAACAAAAAATGATTAATTTTATTTGGGGGAGTTATAGAAGTTTGGGACTGCACTTGGCAGAGCTCGAAATCATTCCGAACTTGAGCCTGTGCTCAGGAGTTGTACTTGATGGGGCTTAGAGGACTTAGCTGTGGCTTGAATCAGGATTGACTATGCACAAGGCAAAAACCTTAACCCCTGTACTCTCTCTCCAGACCCCAAACCAAAAAATATTAATGAGATATTTTGTATTCTCTTTGGATGCTAAATCTTCAAAATTCAGTGTGTATCATATTCTTATAGCCTTCTCCCTTTGGGACTAAGTGCATTTTGGGTGCTAATAATCAGATAGAACCACAGTATTGCACAGTGAAAATATGTATGAAAAACATTAGCACTGAATTTCCGATTTGAGTTTGTGAATGATTTCTTCAGTATTAATGGTATTCATAATCAACTGTAAGAGTAAGAGCAGGGCCATGGTTTAAATGTCGTTGATTTATAAAAGTTTTCTCAATATAATGATCAGCTGTAGTGAGAAATATCTACTGTACTTGGTGAATTCTTTTGGCTGATGAATTTTTTGTTAAGCCACTTGATGATACCAGTTTGATGCTTGACCCTTTGGGAATAGAATTGCTCCTTTTGAAACAACAAAGCTGTCAGAGTTTGAAATAATTGATAAGGCTGCTAATGGCTGTAGCTCTAGTAATTAGACGTTCAGTTGAATTTGTGAGCATCCATAGTTGGAAGCCTGCCTCATGAGCAGGGAGAGAAGGTAGCTGGAATAGAGAAGGGATCACTAAGACAATGATGGTTGGAAGGATTGGTTGGGATGGGAGAGATGTCTGCTGAAAGTAGATAAAGGACCAAACGTGATAACATCTCAGTATCTGTATTGCAAACCATAATGCCCAAAAGTAAAGAGAGAGTATGGGGGAAATTGTCTGCCATGGAGGCAGGGGGAGGGCTGGAAAGGGGGCGTATACTGGGGACATTGGTGGTGGGGAATGTGCACTGGTGGAGGGATGGGTGTTTGATCATTGTGTGATTGTAACTCAAACATGAAACCTTGTAACTATATCTCATGGTGATTCAATAAATTTTTTTTTAAAAAAGAGAGAAAAAAATAAATGAATTTGTGAGCATCCTGGTGGTGGGACTCTGGGGTTCAGATTTATTCAGTAACTACAGCTTTTATTTTAGGTATGAAAATCTTTGTATACAAATGGATCATTCTTTTTAAAATCATGAGTTTTAATTTTCTCCAGGGTGCTTGTCAATCTGGTTAATACGATCATGTTTATATTTGACTTATCTGAGAACGAGATTGGAAATAAATTAGCTTAGTTGGTACCAATTTTCCCCTAGCAACTTTTTTTTTCATTTGTTTTCTTAGGGGAGAGGTTTACTTACGTTTGGAAAATGTCATCTGCTCCTCCTGAAAAGCCTTTATGTTGAAACGTGGCCTTTTGCATAAACAAAGTGAAAAGAGCCTTTTGAGAATTGTAATTTGTTCAAATTAAAATGAATGCAGGAAGATAATAAAGATATTTTTAAAAGCAAGTCTAATCCCTTTGCACAGAATTTTAACTATTCCCGTGGGGGAAATTACATCATCCTTCCATGCAGGGTCAACGGAAGAAAAAAAAAAAGAAAAAAAAAACCACAGTAGTAATTCAGAATCGTAAGAAGTATTTTTTTAAACTTTCACTATTGTGAATAAATGATATGAAATCAGTGGTGCTGTTTCTTGAACTTCAGCTTCCTGATATTAGAAAAACCCAGAGAGAAAGAGGACTGGAAGAGCAATCCCTTTGTTCTAATGACTTTATGCTAAAATAAATTCATCATATCAAAATCAGTGTCATGATAGAAATCTTTTTAAGAATTGCAGAGTGGAGATCTTTTGCATGAAAAGAGAACTTTTATTTCCCCTGTAATTATGACCACTATGTTGGAGCAATCAAGAAGATCTGCTAATTTACTTCTAACTGATGCAATTGATTTCTTCAAAGCTTTATGTGGAATTGGAGATGTCATTGTGATGAATCAGAAATACTTAATCCTAACACTTTACAAAGCAAACTGAATTGTTATGCATGACAGCTATTTTGGTATTAATCAAAGGGGGAAAATGTCAGTTGTGTTTTTCACCTAGTTGTGGATGGGCAGAGGCTCATCCAAGCTAGTTTTAAACTTTTACTAAAAGAAATAGAATTGAAATAGAAGCCTCTGGTGCTAATTATTGAAGTTTATTCTACTAGGATTGAAGTCTATGGGTGGCCTGGAACAGAAATTTTCTAAATATGATATATTCCACAAATAGATAATGAATTGTTGTCAGTTTCCCTCAAGGGAAATCTGGATATATTGCATTTTCTCCCTAAGGTAGCTGTAACTGTGTTTGAAAATAAAATTGTTGTTATAGCTAATACCTATTAACTTTAAATGTTACTCACTTGTCAGTGCTAGGCTGTCACAGCATGTATCGAATGTTAATTCTAGTCTCTTCCAGAACCAGTGAGATTTTAGTTCAAAACCCACTTAGACCAGCCACTGTGGTAACAAAGTTTTGTGCTGTTACAAAATCATCTTAGGTGGTTGAAATCAAGGTAGACATGGGACCAACATACACAAACAATGAAATGATTTTTGTATTCTGTGGCCCCTTGCTCATCATGTCTTATTTGGAGACCCTATTTGTTATACAAAATTCAGAGTGTTGAATCAAAGAGTGTCAGGAGAATGGTTTAAGACACATCTTTAGGGTCTTCAACAGATGTGACTGGATTCCTTTCCTGTTTTCAGTGTTTGAACAGAGTAATAGCTGTCCATTCCATTTCCTCAGTCAACATAGCAGTTCCATTTTCTCAAGGATTCCAAATTATTTAAAGGAATTGTGCAGATGTGAAGAGGTGAGGATCCACTCTGGCTCTCTTTCTGGATGCTGTTGGTCTTAAGAGTTTGTTGCAAACCTTCTTAGTTCTGCTGATGTCTGCAGAACTCAGATCTCCCTCATCCACCTGCTGCTCCATGACTTTTCTGGGTGGTAAAGATACTGTGCAAACTCTTGAAGTCTCTTAGTAGGACTGGCAAAGAGCATGTATTCCTTCCAAGTAAATCTCTTGTCCACACTAGACCGTAACTTTTTTTTTTTGAGTCACATCTTGCGATGCACAGGGGTTACTCCTGGCTCTGCACACAGGAATTCCCCTGGTGATGCTCAGGGGACAATATGGGATGCTGGAAATCAAACCCGGGTCAGCCGCATGTAAGGCAAACGAACTACCTGCTTTTCTATTGCTCCAGCCCCAAGATCTTAACTTTTAAGATGCAAAACTCTTCATTTTTTTCTCAGAAATAGAAATTCCCCTACGCCTCCCCATCTCCTCAATTGCAATAATGTGGAATTGAGGAAGTTTCTGAGCCTAGTAGGAAATAGAGGAAAATTGCTTCTGCTCATATGGCAAAAGTATTACTCTCTAGGACAGCAAGGAAACTTAATAGAGTTTTGAATTTAGAAAAGCATTAGGATGGGGCAGTCCAAGTGAAAGAAAGCTCTTGAAAATGCTAACTTACGTATGGTGTCTAGGTATATGGAACATACAGAACATTGTATCAATCTCAGAAATCTAACATGTAATAAATGCCTCAGAATAATATAGACAACGTACCTAGAATTGTATATATACATATATATACTTTTATATGTTTATGACTTTCATTTGCTAGTTTTCTACCCAGTTAGTTTCTGTCTCCTCCAGTGACTGAGCATTTAGGAAAGAGAGACCCAGAACTGCCACAATGTCACACAGCAAACACAGACCTCTTGGTCTTCTGATTCCAATCCTTTGTTCCTTATTTCCATTCCTGTAGGAGAATGATATTACTTCGCAATTGAAAAAAATTAGGTTAGCTATCAGGATAAAGATTTTGATGCTGATAGTTTGAAACATTCAAATACATGACAAAGGGCATTTGCAGTGGTTATTAAAAAAACTGTTTAGGCAGTTACCTTTTTTAACTGTGGCCTAAGGGTAATCCTATGGAATCACGGATGATATATATGGCTTATTGAAGTTGATTTCTTTACCCTGGTTTTAAAAAATGTGATTTTTAATCTATATACTTTTCTAAAGGTTTACAAATGCAGGCTTGATTGAAATACTTATTATAGAAAATTCCCCTGTATCTTCCTAAATTTACTGTATTGTAAGATGCAACATTAGTCTTTAAAGCAAATGTAAAAAGTTTTTTTCAAGATGTTTTAAAACTGAAAAGTGAAATTTCTTTAGATCCCCAGTGAAGGCTGGACTGCATAGAACTTTAGCTTCTTCTTTGCTGTGGAACAAACAGATTTCTGTTGGGACGGGATTTATAACTTTGTGGGACAATGTAAATATGTGACAGGCTTCAAAGTTCATTTTTCAGAAGGATCTTTCTTGGAACTGGTAATTGATTTTTGTGTAGTGTCAAACACAAAAAAATGTGTGGTGCATAAAATAAACAGGACAAGAGCTAAGTACTCACATTTTTGTGAGGATGGTAGAGATTTAGACAGATTTCAAAATGAATTTTTTCTATTCCATTACTCCCTGGTAGAAAGCCAATCAGGCATTTCCTTTTCTTATGGTAATATTTTAAATTTCCAGAAAAATGTGTCTTTTCCATATTGCATGCCAGAATATCTCTAGAACTTCAGTTCTTCTCTTTTGGAGGAAGTCTGTATAATGAGATTTGGGGTTGGGAAAACATGTGTCAGAATGTAGACTTTTCCCTTCTGTCCTCACTTTCTTCCCTCCCATCTTTTCCTATTCTGTACAGAACAGCTTTGAATTGCCAAATCAAATAACATGACAGCATAATAGAGCCTATTTTTAACTCAGATTTATTGAGATGTAATTGACATGTAACATTGTTGTAAGTTTAAGATGTACAATTCGATGATTTAACGCGTGTATATACTTCAAAATGATTATCGCCAATCAAATTAGTTAACATATCCATCAAATTGTTTAATTACCTTTACCTTTCATTTTTCGGGGCGGTGAGAATACTTAAGGTCTACTCTCTGCAATTTTCAAGTGTATACTACAGTATTGCTATTTATAATCACCACGAAGTGGTTGAGACCCCCTATAATTTTATTTTTAATCTGATAATTGGGTCTTTGTATTCTTTTTGCCAGCATTTTATATTCTCTAGTTTCAAGTCCATGGTAACCACCATTCTGTTCTTTTTTTCCTATGAATTTAACTTTTTTTGGATTAATATATGATGAGATACTATAGTAATTATCTTTCTCTGTGTACTTCATTTAACCTAAAATCCACAAGATCCATCCATGTTGCAAATGGCAGGTTGTTCTTCTCTTTTGTGGTTGAATAATATCCCATTGTGTGTTATGTGTGTGTATATGTAATATAAGTACATCTGATTTTCATCTATTCATCTGTTTGGATGAAATGGATGTATTTAATTTAAAAGAGCTTTTTTTAAAAAAAATAGTACAAGATTCTTTTCATTGAATTTGGAAGTTCATTGTACATAGTTCATAATGCAGCTCTATACATAAATGTTCTCAACTAATTTGAGAACAATTGTAAAATTTCTGATGTTGTAATGATAACTCTATGTCCAAATACTTCCGCCTGGGATTTTTTTTTTCTGTCACTCTATACCATTATATAACCCTTCATTGACAGATACAAACTGTAAAGGATTCCAGAATTGATGTAATGTGAGAATACTTAAGATTATCTTTGAATTTCCTATAGTCTATTGTCATTTATAAGTATACAGTTATTCTTTAGTTTGTAAGCTGGTTATTCAAATATTTCCCACAAGTATTTTTGGACACTTTTGCTAGGTATCTGAATCTATATTCCCCCTAATCAGTATGCATGTGTGTACCAACAAAAACCTTCGGTGGTTATTAAGAGCAGCAAAAAGGATGTACAGGTGTATGCTGCAGTTTTAAAATCCTTGGTTGCAGTCTTTTCAAAGCATATACATGATCTCAAATGATTTCCTTATTCTATTCTGTTTTTGGCCCTTCTTGAGTCTCAGTTTCTTCTTGCCAGGATCTAGGAACATTTCCAACTAGACTCTAATTTAGATCGGATCTTTAACAGATGAATGGACAAATTGTGGCATATACATTCAAGGGAATATTATTCAGTCTCAAGAAAGGAATAGAGTTTTTTCTCCCAGTCTACAGTATGGATGGATCTTGAAGCCAGATACAAAATGAGTTTATGATTTTACTTATAGGAAGATCTAAAATAATCAAACTCATAGAGAGAAAGAAAGTAGATTAGAGAATACCCAGGGATAGGGAGAATGTAAAATGTGAAATTATTGTTTTAAGGATTTGAAATTCCATTTGGGATCATGGAAAAGCTCTGGAGATTAATAGTGGTGCTGCTTGTGAAACTACTTGAATGTATTCAAGGTCATTGAACCATGGCCCTCCCGTTGATC